GAAAAACATATAAAGTATATGGACAGTGATGTTGAATCAAATGTTCCCTTAGTCAAAGTTCGGGAAATACCACGAAAGGACTACGTACAGCCAGAAATGAAGGCATGGATACCTGTAAATGCAAACACAGGGGTTCATTCTCTAAAAACCGTCAGGACTGTGTGGGTCCATCCTCCCTCCAATGAGGAGGAGCTAGAGAAATCCACTCTAGAATCTGGCTCAGGCCGCATTCCATCAAAGAACAGCAAATGTCCAAAAGTCACGCTCGCTTTAGTGCGCAATACCATCCTGAACCGCTTTGGAAACGTGGAAAGAACTTATGTAGGTTTGAAACCTACCGTCTTGCAGAGTCAGGTAAGATGTTTTCTTCTTCCTTTCTCTTTTTAGGTCAGATTAGTTTTTATTTAGTTTTATTTATATGTTCTGCAGTGCTTCTGTATAAAAGTGAATTTAATTTCATGCGTGCAGACTGACGATGAGAAGGTCATGCTCAAGGTGTCTGTGAGTGATATTAAACATTTCCTGCAGTGGAAGGGAGCATCTGTAGTTAAGAAGGTATGGTTAACACAAACGCATACACACTTATAATAAATAAGGCCATTACATTATTACTATTTAAGTATAATAGAAAATAGTTGCCACTTTCTAATAAGCTAACAAGATTTATAACTATAGCCATATTCAGATTTAAGACTAAGGCAGTATTGTTTTCATAATGTCATACTATTAAAAAGTATATTATTAATTTAACATATTAATTTAAATAAATAATACACGTACCTTATATTGATTGTATGATTTTGTCCTTTCAAAATGATCTAAAAGGAGAAAATGACAAGTCCAAAAAATATTAAGAAAAGAAGGTCGGTTCAGGACATGACCAGCCTTAATAATGACCTCTTTAAAGCCATCACCCCATGGATTGGTAATGTGATGCTGCCTGCTCCAGTGAATGAAAACACATTTTGTGAAGGTACAGACCCTTGTTTCACTTCTGACAAAACACCTACATTTTTGTGGCACTGAAGCAATATTTGAGCAGCCTCACATATCAGACAGTTAATTGCTGATAAATAAAGTTTCGCCCCTTCTTCCTGTTAAATATCCTGTTTCACTTCAAAATGTAGCACATTATGGAAGGGTGGTTTCTGCGGGTCCTAAAAAGTCTTAATTTGCCCTTCCAAAATTTATAGCCATAAAACAGGGTCTTACATCAGAGCAGAAAGTCATACATTCATAGAGTCATCGCATTAAATGTTGCATGCATTGCCAAAATGAATATCTTCCTGTTTTTGTTTTCCAGTACAAATATCTAACATCCTTAAATGAGCATATATTTATTTGAGATGCCAATTTAAAACAGAAGTCTTAACCATTTTTACAAAATTGCTTACAAAACAAGAACAAATATCTGTCAATAGTATATATGAATATTTCCCTTTTAATGAAGTTACATTTATCTGAGCCCACTGACAGATTTTTGTTATAGACATTTTAGACATCTGCACTGGAAAACAAGACAAAAAGTTATTTCCATACTAGTTCTAGTGGTTGATAGTTATTCAAGCCTTGAGTAATTTTTTTTAATGAATTAAAAATAATGGTGATCGGTTGGAAGCTGTATTTTGAAGTTCTGCTAATACAGCTCATTGTGAGTTCCCTAGATATTTATATTTAGAGAACTTATTGTAAGAATGATAGACATTTAGAGAGCATTGCTTTACATATTGTGTAAGAGAGACACAGTTGTGTTTCCTTTAATCCTTAAAATGTCTTTACTAGGTCTTTAAAAAGTCTTAAATTGACCTTAATAAAGCCTGCAGAAACCCTGTGGAAGTAAAAATGAGTTGTAACTATAATTCACATTGACTTTAAGCAATAAGTGCAATTTAGTTTATAGTACTCTAGTGTGTAGATTCAACATGGACCTAATTATGAGTAAATAATTCAAGGCTTTTTTCGTCAGTTATTCATCAATAATCATTTTACAGGTGATGTTGTTGGAATGAAAGCAGAAGACATCGCTCTTCCAAAAACATCAGTGTTTTCATTTTTCCTCAAAGTAAGGCTAATTATTTTGTCAACGATTATTATTAAAAAAAAAAACAGCAGTGTTTCACATGGTTGTATTTTCTTAACAGGCTTTTCAAATAGATGTCAAGGGTTGCAGGAATGTCATTGAAATTCAGCAAATGATCAACATTAAGGTATTTATCAATCCAGTGTCTTAAAGTTTGTTAGCCTAGTTGTCATACTTTGTTGCTGATGTGCATATGAATATGCAGTATTTTTTTTAAAGAAATTATCTCTAAGATTAGTGTTCCCTCAGTATTGTCAGTTGTTCTCTCTTGTCTTGTCTTTTTTCAGAAGCCAATTGCTCAATCTAAACCAAGAGCAGGTATGTCAGTTTATATTTATCCATTTAAATGTTTTTAAATATAATAGTAAATAATGCACATATCCAAAGAGCTCCAGTTCTTTCTGCAGTAACATGCTTAATGTCAATGTTTTCTTCTTATGGTTATTTGGATCCTCCTCAAAAAGTGTCCGTGATTCTTAAGGATGCAAAACGGAAAGCTGAGCACAAGAAACCTGCAGAACCTCCTCAACATCCACCTCTCCTGCAGCCGGTTCTTCTTAACCCTCTCCAACTGCAAGTCAGGCAGATGACAACCCCTACTTTGATTCAACCCAAAACTCTTGTCATTACACAGCCAAACAAGCAGAGGGCAGTGCAGCCTTTACTAATTAAGTCACCACTACAAGTTTTATCACCGATTCCTCTACCGCTAATACAGCTGACAGCACCTGCACAACCTGTCATGGCCTCAACCCCCAAATCACCAAGTACAGAGGACTCAAACAGCATCAGATCTGCAAAACGTATCCGCAAACCTACTGAGAAAGTCCAAGACCTAATGGAAGAAGCTAAAGCTAAAGGTAGTAAAAAAGAGTCACGGAAACTAAATCAAGGCAAACAGAATGTTGTTTTTCCAACTATTACATTGCAGATGCAGGCAGTAAACTGGATTTTTACCCCCACCAAGTTGGTACAAGTAACTGGTCCACTTTCTGCTAATATCCCAAGCAACCAGACACTAACTGTGCCAAATAGTTCCCCCCTGAATAACAGTATTAGTCCATGCATCTCAACTAATCTATACCCAGCATCATCTTCACTGGATGTTGCTGCTTCCTCAGTTAGTCCTGCCCTTATCCATTCTTCAGTCTCAAATGCCTCCAGAGATACCCTAAAGACTTCCTCCTCTGTGAACATTAGCTCTAATGGCATCCAGACACCTCTTTCACCTACTTCTACCTTAGTACAGAGCAAAAGTGTGCTACATAGTGTTCAGATGTTATCCCCGACACCTATCAAAGTGGACCAGAACAGTTCACATGTTGAAGCTACGAAGAACTCCTCAGACTTCTCTTCTGATGAATCCATTGTAAGGCAATATCAGACATCTGCATCAACTGGTTCCAGAGTATCTCCTGCTGCTTTCAGTGTTCTTCCAGTTCCCTTGACTGTGCCACCTTTGGCTAGTTCACCAGTTGTATTGAAGCCAACAAATAATGTTGCAGTGGCAAAGTCTCCTGGTGTTACTGAAAATGGCTGCGTTCTTGTGAGAACTAATCAGCTGCCAACTGTCATCCAACAGAAAAGTTTGCCTGACACAATATTGAGCCCCCTTTCTGCTTCTAGTAGACCAATTGCTTTTTCACCTCCGGTTGTAGTTCAATGTCCTCAGATTGTGGCTGTGTCACCTCGGATTATGGCTCCATCACCTTGGATTATGGCTCCATCAACTCGGGTTGTGGCTCCACCACCTCAGATTGTGGCTCCACCACCTCAGATTGCGGCTCCATCAACTCGGATTGCGGCTCCATCAGTTCAGATTGCGGCTCCATCAGTTCAGATTGCGGCTCCATCAGTTCAGATTGTTGCTCCATTACCTCAGATTATGGCTCCACCACCACGGACTGTGGCTCCACCACCTCGGATTATGGCTCCATCACCTCGTATTATGGCTCCATCACCTCAGATTGTGGCTCCATCAGTTCAGTTTGTGGCTCCATCACCTCAGATTGTGGCTCCATCACCTCAGATTGTGGCTCCATCACCTCGGATTGTGGCTCCATCACCTCGGATTGTGGCTCCATCACCTCGGATTGTGGCTCCATCACCTCACATTATGGCTCCATCACCTCGGATTGTGGCTCCATCACCTCGGATTGTGTCTCCATCACCTCCGATTGTGTCTCCATCACTTCCGATTGTGTCTCCATCGCCTCCGATTGTGTCTCCATCGCCTCCGATTGTGTCTCCATCGCCTCCGATTGTGTCTCCATCAGCTCGGGCTGCGGCTCCACCACCTCAGCTTGCGGCGCCACCAGCTCGAA